AGAAACTAACTATGGTCCGTTTGTTTACTAGCTAGGGCCAATCTATGAGCAAAAAATGAGCAAAATCGATTTTTCGACTTGTGCCGTTGTTTGGTCCATAGTTATGGGCACTGGCTCTTAATAACCGTGGATAACATCTCTAAAGTTCTGTAAGAATATATGAACTACGAACAGAAGCATATCACCTAGAACAAGGTGATAAGCTTCTGCTATGAAATGAAACGGGAAGTGCTTGGTCACTATTCGTACTCTTGGTATTGAACGAGCTTGCAATGGACGATCATGCGGGGGAATATTATCAAAAAGGGATTCCAATTCCATTTGCTTAAGCCTGTTCCAGGCTGTCGGTCATTGGGGACGATCGTAAAATGGGGCGGGTGACAAGCTTGGTTTGGGAGAGAAAACGAGAGGGCGTGCTCTCCTTTTCTCTTCCAGACCCCGTTCGTCACCCGTCCCATTTTTCGATCGTCCCCACTGACCGAGAGCAGGCTTCATTTGGCTCCGCGCATTAGCCTCAGTTGAAAGTTAGTTTCCAAGAATATGAATATGGATACGAGTATGGTCTGTTAGCATAGCTACTTCAGATGCTGATTGAGCTACAAAAATGTCCAGGCTTTATTAAATGTCTCAAGAAATTTGAGCCTGATGCGTGGGTTGAAAAACTCGAATTTTACAAAAGTGCATGAATTTAAGTGTTTCTGTCATCCAGAAATTTCGCAGTTTTTGGCCGTCAATATCTCCTTCAATATTTCACCTGGAGAGCTGAAATGTCACTAATTACTGTGGTTAAAAATTTTGTTAAACGTTTGCAGTCATTTCATATGCCAGGGAGCAAAATGAAACAATGACGTCAGGAAAGATTTTCCTATAAGATATGAAACTTTTTTAAAATGCACCTAGCGAATGATACCATCCCGTTGGACGATTATTAATATAGGGCATGGTACAGTTAATTTCGAGTTGAAGATGAGATTGAAATGACCAATCAAGTATGACTTTACGTTAAAATCGTACTATAACAATATAATTTCAAATCATTCGTCACAGAGAACAAATTTTTTCCTTCCTGAAACCGCTATCCGGGCTTAATTTAAAGTTTTCCTTACCTTTCAAGTGATAATATTGTTTTTGCCCAAGCACTCTGCCACTTTTCTCTAACTTGGGTACAGTAGCTTTAAGTCGGTACCGTAATGCTTCCATTCAACACTCCCATTCCACTCTCAGAACTTGCATTTTGTAGGCGCCGGCCTGTCCCGTTTCAGATCATCCGTGGTTCATCTTCTGAATTACTCACATCATTCTCGCGTGACAGATCAGGAACTGGTCTTCTATTAAGCGCCTTGACTGGTTCTTTCATAAGGCGAAGACATAATACCTTAGAAACAAAGGTCTCCCTTTCGTTTTACCACGAGAAGATGAAGGGTGAGAGAGTCAATTCTGTCTACATGCCTTAGTCCCAAGTTATTTTTAGATAGCTCCCGGCTTCGGCAATCCTAGGAGGTTCTAGGATTAGCCAATTCAGTGACGCGAATTTCAATCACTTAGACACTTAGCACGGCTTCACTTGCATCCCCCCCACCCCACCTCCGCAAAAACACTTACGCAACGCGCGTGCTAACATCATCCGAGGGAGCACTGTACTACGGGTGTTTTACTCATACCCCTTATCCTCTCTTGGTTTTTATACATTCGGATGTTCTTGTCAAAAATAACTCAGCGCTTTTCCCCAGAATTACCTCAACCCAAAAGAGCACCTCGTAAACGTGAAGTCAGTTGCAGATGAAATTAGAACTTTGAACGGAATTAAGAGGGTACAAGGTGTTGAGCAGAGTTGAAGCAGGGTGAGCAGTGCTAAACGGGCTTGAATGAGGTTGAACGAGATGGAGTGAGGATGAAAATTGTTAAACGGGATTGAATGAGAATAAACGGTATTGAACGTTTCGGACGGGGTTGAACGGTGAACACTGATTTGAAATGGATTGAACGAGGATGCACGGGGTGGAAAGAGGGGTGATCATTCACGGTGTTGCACCTGGTGTCGAGCGTTCACGGTGGTGAAGTTCCAGCAAGGAAGAACTGTTGAAATGACCACCTCTTCGTCTGACAACTTTTTTTTTACGAAGATAACGAACCCACTGGCACAGTAACCAGGACTGTTTTGAATGTTGCGAGTACGTTTCAATACCGTGAGTTGATATTGTTTCAGTGTAGCCCTTTTACTTGGTTATAAGGTTTACATTCTAGCCAGAAAATGCCAGAACTTTTTCTTGCTAAGTATTGACAGAATTACTTTGTTTTATCAACAAGTCCTTGTAAGTAAATTCAGAAAGCAGGGAAAGATTTCTGGTGAAACAAAGTAGGTTTTATCACACAAACTGTGACAACTGTACTAATACCAAACAGAGAGAGAATTTCAAATCCAGACAAGTTCCACCAAAGTATCGGCACACGGTACGCCACTTAAAAGTTACAGAAAATGAAGTTGAGCCAAGCCTACCAATTGACTAGTCTACCACCCAGCTGCTGCTGGGTAACTAACTTGTTGGAATTTTGCTTCGCTTTACATTGCGTTTAGCTTTAGACTGAAACGTTTGGCGTTTGTATTTAATTGGTAGTTACTTACGATGAATGAAGGACGTTCTCATCTTCTGAATGACTATATCTGAGAAAGTTTGAGCCATATTTTCAATCTGGTACAGAAATTAGAACCTGATCTTATAGAAGATAAAACAGATAAAATTTACTTTATGTTTATTTTTTACAACCAACAAATAATGCCACATATATACAACTCCCACAGGGATAGCCTTGGCCTTCGAAAACATAATTCGTAAGCTAACAATATTGCTCTCTACTGAGAGAATAAAGTTTTAAAATTGTTTAGAAAAGATAGATAGACTTACCTATAACAAACATGACTTGACAACAGCACACAGTAAAGGTGACAAAACTCTTAAGTAGTGGGAATGATTTATGTCAGCAAATAGCAGATCTTCAATCTGATATAATTACAGTTGCCCTTCTCCTCTGGCTACTTGCCCCTCAAGAGTAAGGTGACTAGAGGAATTAGGAAAAACATTCTGACACAATACGTCTGCTTACTGCCACAAATCCCCATTACTTCTAATCGGTAATCAACACTGAAACTTTTAAACTTCTTTTCAAAGTACTCAATTGACTTTTTCTTACATTTTTTTATTTTGTTTTAGGTCAGTTTTTTGCATCTAAGTTGTTAAATGAAATTACAACGTTACATGCGTCAAGCATGCGTCAAGCATGTGAAGTCAGTTGAGAGTTCAACAATCATAAACATGGTAGATATCACAGCTGTTTCTGATAGCAAATTAGCACTGCTATTAATTTAAGAGTTCACAATTCCTCAGGAAACCAAGAAGACATTTGAGAGGGGTGTTTCTGGAAATTGAATGGGAAAGCATATGAAGAGTTCACAAAAGATCATGTCTCTCAAAAGATCGTGTTTTAGTCGATTTGCATACTGGCTATGCTGATGAGATCATCTTTGCCAGGAAAAGGCAAGTCACAACCATTGGAGTGTGCCATTTGTCAAGGCAATTTGCCCAAGCACGTTTGTTACAGAGTTCGGTCTCTCCCAGAGCACGTGTGTTTAAATGGTTAAATCTTAGCAGCTCTTCAATCTTGTTTCCATGCACAGTTTCAATAGACAACACAAATTCATGACTTTTTTCCACAGCTATTAACTGAAAGAATTCATCACACTTCTAACACTGGTATCAGAAACAATGAAAATTCTACCACATTTACAATATTGGTGAACTGACCTCTGACTGAACATCAGCAGCCTGGTTACATAGAATATCGCAAGATGGATGTTGAGGTCAACAGATCATCTTACAGGGCTGTAAGTTTCTGAACTTCAAACAATATTTACTGCAACTGGCTCCACTAATACAAAACAACTACTGTATTTACTCGATTGAGTGCCGTGGTCCTCTTTAATTTTTCAGTATTCCAGTTGCCGGTAGTACTTATTCAGGGGCAGCGTAGCCGCTCTTTAAAAAGTCACGGAATTTGTCAGTGATAACAAGCAACTGATAACAACAAAACATAGCCACTTTGAACCAAAAAACACTGTAACCCAGGAGAATAAATTTCAGGGGCTGGTTTAGATAATCTGAGTTATCCTATACTTGTTCTTTAGTAATAGTTGACTCCTCAAACAATAAATTATTCAGTCTGTGATGCATTGCAAATGAATGCAGCGCTTCAAGAGAGTCACTGTATATTTTTGCTCTCAGATGCAACACTTAATCAGGAGTGGCGCTTAATCAAGTAGATATGGTCTCAACTGTCTGATATGGGGCAATTTCTACTCAAGTCCATATTTAAAATCCAGTTACAATGCCAAATCTATTTACTAAGATCAGGGAGAATTTGGTCAACAAGCCAAGTAAGAAAAGAATGATTACTTTCTATGAAGACAACCTTTTCTTTTCTGGAAAGTACTTTTTGGGCCCTTTCAAATGAGATATGGTGAGCTGTATTGTTGTAAATACTTGGCAAGAAATTAAATAAAGAATACAATGTGGTGAATTTGACTGATTAACTTGCTGCTAACAAGTTAAAAACACAAATTCAAAAGTTGAAACATTTACTGACGCTCGGGGTTGTGTAAGTACTCGTTACAGTACACATATAAATAAAGTGTATCATTTCTTGTCCTGAACATGGCACAACCAACACACAAATGCTGAAATGTCTTTAAACGAAAATACTACATATTTAACATTATTGCTATTCCCTCTGAAATTTTTCCCGGTAATAAATGGCACAGTCATACCAATTAATTGTGTCTTGTTTTAGAGGCCAAATTTAATTTCCAGAAAATGCGTGATCAAAAATCAAGAATGGAGGTATTTTCTTTGAGAGCTAATCTAGTGATGAGGTTTATAAGCTCGTATTTGATCATTGGTGTTATTACAGTCTGAAAAGATGTGGTATCTGGGGTTTATTTTTTAGTGCAGTTTATTAGTTTTGAAGCAGGAGAAAGAGCTAAGAGATTGTTCTTGTACGTTTACAATTTGCCACAAATTCATCAATTACCATGAGGAAAATGTCATTGGAGGGATAGCACACTTGAATCATTATAAAATAAAATACATTGTGTCCCAATGGACATTATTTACCCAAGTTACCACGCAATAAATAATAACAAAAATAGTCTAGGCTTCTCTAGTTTTCTGTAGTGCACTAACATTGTACAAAGAGTACTTCATTCAGTTAACCATTTACTGTAGCCAAAAAATTATAGCTGCTGTGGTTAAATTAACTAGAAAAAGACTAGTTATCATTTATATATTAAAATTACTTCAACAGAAGTTTGACATACTACAGAATTGAATAAACAAGCTTTACAGTAAACCTGAAGCTGTCACGCATGGAAGATGCATTTAGCATTAATTACCTCAGAGGATTGTTGCAGATCATATAGCTAGAATGGTCAGTCTGTTATTTTTAATTTAGGTGAAGAAGATGAAGTCTTGAGTACATTCCAAACCAGAAGTTTATTGATCCATTACTAGGTTATATTCTCCACTTCTTGTACGACTGTGATAATCCGCTGCAGCACAGAGCAAGAATATGTTACATGTATGCACACAATAGAGATTTCAGTTCTAGTATTACATATAAATTACACATAAACAATTAAAAGATGATTTTTTAAAGTAAAGCTCATATCACTCACGAACAGAATGTTACTTAATTAAACAACTTGAAGTTACAGTTAATGGGTTAGCACAGCATTAAAAGCTAGCTACTGCAAGATTAGTTTACCCTGGATGGTTAAAATGCTTCAGAGTTCATGGTTAACATGGGGCTATCAAATATTCACTTGTTCCCTACTTAACATCAAATGGATGTTTAGGTTGGACCCTTCCTAAACATCCATGTGAAATTTTGCTTCCCCAAGAGTTACGCATTCCACTCACTACAGTATATGTTGCTGACATGAGAAGATATGAGCGTAATTTGTTGCTGTTAGAGGGTAGAGAAAACCATTTTTGTGAATCAAATAAAGCTTTCTCATAACTGTTCTGATCTCAGGTGTGTCTTCCTTGTCCTATTTTTGTTTCTGATTTCCATCTACAGAATTCAGATTCTTTCAAATGTGTTGCATGACATATGCAGTTGAAAACTGCATATGTGCACCATCCTCAACACGAAGTAACACTAACATCTGGCTTAACGTCCAGTTGACGTTAAGCTGGGAACAAGTGAATACCGGTATGTTGATGGCCCCTAAGAAAGAAAAACATTATTGACTACTTGTTTTGCTATTATTTTGAGTTAACTAGTGATAACCGGTCCAAAAAGCAACTACTGACTAAAGGCAACCATCACAATTTGTTTGGCAGTATGTGTACTACTTTTTATTGCAAAGTAGAGAATGTACACCTCAGATAATTCTATGACAAGGGCAAGTAACAAAACAAATAACCTGGGCAAGAAGCAAACAGTACACATCCATTACGAACCAAGTCCTGAAAGCTCAAACATTTCAGTATCACATGAACACTCCACTAGATGTGTTATAATTTCTCATTTTACAACATTGTTATCATCAATAAAAGAAATAAACCTTTAAAAAATGTCGTCCTCGTATTGAGTATGTCAGTTTTGTTGGTGCTGCATTAAAAAGTTACATCAGTTTTATGCATGTCTTATCACTGATGATAAATGCCATCAAACCTTTAAAAAAACAGCCTGCAAATTGGGCATTCAAGTAACACAAGCTGCAAACAAATCTACCAATCCACAGATCTATATAATTGGCAATTTTACCTATGCAATTTCCAGGACTTTCTAAATGGACATTTTAAAACATTGACTTTGGTAGTGATCTGCAACTGTTCTTTTAGGACTTGCTTTCATGCAAAACTCTCCATTAAGACTGAGTGACTGTACTACAAAAAGTTTTCTTATGTTCTTAATGGCCATAATCCACCAATAATTAGCAATGCTGCTCAAATTATTCCTACACTTTATTTCTTGGTACATAGGGCAACTTACAAGCCTTTTGAAAAGTTTCACCATTGCCAATTCAACCCTCAGAAGTGGGCAGGGATAGAATCTTGGCCTTAACTCGTTTACGAATTACATGCTCCTTCTGTAGTTCAAAATTTTGCCTCTTTGTTGATAGACCTCTTTGTACATAGGTATATAAAATGGCTTACTTTGGCACGAAGATTTGACTTTAAATCTACATTTCACAAATTTTACCATGTAAATTAAAAAAAGCTTCCTTTAAAATAGGTAGCTAAGTTTATCGTACCAAAAATGCTTTAAGCTCAGGTTCAAAAGCAACCCAGTGTTGCAATGGACGCATTCATATCATATAGTGTTCAAATATTACTTGCTCAGCAGCAGTTTAAGCTACCGCGTTACCGCCACTTCAAGCTGGTCATGAGGATCCACCAACTTACTAGGTACAGATGTTTTCCTGTGTGGAATATTCTCAGGTGTAGGAATAGCTTTTCCGACTGCAAGCGGCATACAAGGCATTGGTTTTCCTCTGTTAATTGCTGCCGCTGGGCCTCCTTTTTTCTCGCTCTTCGCCATTGCATAATCACCAGAATCAAAATATTTCACCTGGACGAGGAGAGAATAACATGCAATGTAATGCAAAACATTCAAAAGTTACATCCTTACATAAGTTCTGCAATATGCTTTAAAACATACCCCTCTCTGCATTCTCTTTCTGAGAATATCAGTCGCGACTGGTTTCTTGTTCCCTGGAAATTTCAGTTCCAACTTCTGCTCCTCTGTGAGCTAAAATAACACAAAAGGGCACAGTTAAAATTAGGACAAAGTAAAAGAATTCTAACAACGAATTTCACCTCGCTTGGCTTTTCTTCTGGTGCCGTTTCTTCGCTCATTTTCTAAGCTAAAACCTCAGCAACTCAAAATGGCGGATTTCAAAAACTGCTGGCCTGCGGTAGTGCCAAATTTGGTAATGTACGTCACCTACCCTACAAGTAGATTAATGTCGCAAGCGACCCATCGGGTAGTGACAGGTTATAAAGAGCTTCGCGCTCTCTGCCTGTTATTCAGGCTGTTGCCAAATTTTTTGCCATCCAGTGGTTTCAAGAAATGCACGTACCAGATGTCTCTGAGTGAAAATAAAATCACTTGATTGCAAGGCAATCTTTGAAGAAGAGGCTAGCTCACTACTGGGTCACCACTAGTTCAAGGTGTTCGTCTTTCTCATTGACTGTTTCACATTTTGGGTTATTTTGCAAATTTGAAAATGACATCTACGACTTCTAGTATCACCATAGTTGATGCATATCGATGAAGATTAATAGATGTACATTTGGGCCCGGCTAATTCGAACTAGGTTATTTCGATTTCCCCGTTATTTCTGCGATCTCAAACCCAATTCACTTGGATTTGCCCTTGTCTTTGAGTCTTCCACTATCGGCTATTTCAGCTTGACTCGGTTATTTCGAATATCGTTTTTAGCCCTTTTATGATAACTGTAAAAATTCTCGTGCGCTCATTGGCTAATTTTCAATGTCAATAAGCGGACAGGCACATGAAGTTATAATTTCTGCGATGCGGCAACGAGCGAGAGTGGACAATTTGACAATTTGTTATCGTAAAAAACAAATTGACGTCAGTTTTTCATGCGTCTGTCCTAATCACTGATTATGAATTTTGACATAACATTGTCAAAGTAGCTGTGGATTCACGAGGCGATAGCCGAGTGGATCCGCAGACTACGTCAATTTGTTAACATGACGTCAGATCACGTCAGAATATTGCTGAAAAACTTCAATTTGGGCTACTCATTGTACTTTATCTTGTACAGGCATAACTGTAATGAACGTTCTCTTCCAGCCCTTGGTCATTAATTAAACATACAGTATCATGTTGATCACATATATGTAGGGCCTTACTGGGAGAATATCGGCCCGTGGGTGTGCGATAGCTCAGCAAATCAAATCGCAGCATTTTCAATAGCCTACTGTAATGTGGTTTTATGTTAATGACAATTACTTCCATGTCCAGCGGGAAAAAAAAGTGGAATAGCATCAAGTTTGGTTATTTCAAAAAATAAATTAAAACGAACAGTTAAAAAAGATACCTGTATCAAAGACTGTAACCGTAAAAAAAAGTGTTTAGGATGAACAAAAAGAAAGAAATTGTTCTCCCCGGTTGATGCGTGACACTTAAATGGGTATAAACGTTCAAACGAAAATATAAAATTAAAAACTGATAACGTAGAAAAATGTCAAAGTGTCATCTTGTGAAAAATCACGAACGTTCCCAGGCCTGACACCCAACCTCGTTCCCAGGGTCCTCACAACCGCCGACCGGTTAGCTCAGTTGGTAGAGCGTCGGACTGCTGTGCGGGAGGTCTCGTGTTCGAGCCCCAGACCGGACCAACACTCAGGAGGAGAATATGCTGCCTTTGCAATGACATCTGCAAATGGTTAGATAGTCTAGTCTTCTCGGATAAGGACGATAAACCGTAGGCCCCGTCTCTTGCATCTTCACTGTTATGGTCAGCAGGGGACGTTAAAGAACCCACACGACGACGACGACAAAAGATTCCGTTTCGTTTTCTTCCAACTCTCTTTCCCTTCTGCAGACATCCCAGTCAAAATTGCGCGCTTGAGGTTTCCGATGTTTTACCACCTCGTTATTCCGTGATTCTCGGGATCGGACTGAGAAAATATCGGTCCCTGTTTTTTTTTTTTTTACGGTACGGACTTTTGGGCTGATAGTTTGTTCTATAAACAAATACTAGTCTGAAACGAAGTTCGAGGGGCTTATATTCAATTTGTTTACAAGATCTATTTACAAGAATATTGAGCCTGTATTTGGCGAAATTTTAAATACCCAAGGCTAAGAGTTTGTTCAGAACATTTTCTTGCGCGTTGATGGAAAATAAAACTGAAACAATAAAATCACACAATGCTTTCACATGAAATTTTTTTAACCATTGAAAAGTATGAATGAATGAAAACTTTATTAACGTGTCAAAGAAGTCTAGCCGAGGGTAAAAACCCTTGAATTGTGTCCTTTTTCTCACATGACTTGCAAAACAATACAGCGATAAAAACTACGAATAAGTTGGCACATGCGCAATGTAACAGAGACACCATACAGTTCTATTTGATAGTTCAGTTCCTAGTCACACCGGTTTTTACTATATTCTGTAATCTAAAAATGTAAAAAGGTAAATTATGCACACTAGCCAAGTGGCCCATCAGGCCGGAGGTTTACGGTCGTTTCGCCCGAAATTCCGTTCGCCCGAAACCCTTTCGCCCGAACTGGAAGACGATTCGCCCGAACAAAAAGTCGTTTCGCCCGGACTCAAAGTCCATTCGCCCAGTATTTTTCTAACGTGACTACGGTACCAGTTAATGGCATAGATTGACATGATAAACGGTATGGAACATTTCTTTTCTTACATCCACGGCGAGTTGATCGATGAATACAGCGTTATGCCACGGNTTTTAAAGATTCCCGCTTTTAAAGATTCCGCATTTTAAAGATTCCCGCTTTTAAAGATTCCTCATTTTAAAGATTCCCCGTTCCCCGTTTCCCGTTTCCCGTTGCCCGTTCCCCATTCCAATTTCCCGATTCCCCGTTCCTCGTTTTAAAGATAGCCGACAATCGATGTACATGTAAAATTATTATTAAAACCACGGCTACATACGTGTATGCACACGAACAATGGTAACCGGTCGTTTTCGCCCGAACTGGGAGACGATTCGCCCGAACAAAAAGTCGATTCGCCCGAACTCAAAGTCGATTCGCCCGGTATTTTTCTAACGTGACTATGGTACTAGTTAATGGCATAGATTGACATGATAAACGGTATAGAACATTTCTTTTCTTACATCCACGGCGAGTTGATCGATGAATACAGCGTTATGCCACGGTTTCGTGTAATGTGAACATCCAGCGCTGCTTAAGAGAGAACTCGGTTTTTTTTTTCTTTTTCGCTTTTTCGACTCGTAGCTTATGTGAAGGGAATATTGTACGGTCTCCTTTCCTCTCTCCTTCCCTCTCTATCTGGCGAGTTAATCGTCGATTGATTACGGATGAAAGGAGAATTCAATTCATCCGCCATTGATTGGACTAGGTCACACCTCATGTAAAGCCAAATAAAAATGACACACAAATTCCGTTTCTATTACCGTATGTGACAATTTTTATTAGCCTATCTAGAAAAGAATATCGCAGGTTAGTACTTTTTAAAATCAAGCGCGCGTAGTATCACGCAAACAGATCTATTGATCATATTCAATAAATTGTTGCATTACAGTATGTTGACGTGTTTTTTTTGTTTTTTGTTGTTTTTTTTTTTTTGCCTCAGCTATTGCACCGGGCCGGTTTAATTGGGTTTCTTGCATGCTTAGTAGAAATTTGCATGTTCTGTATTCATTTCTGACAACGTGATGCATGTCATTATATCGATCGGGAATAGTTTTGATCGCGCTACACGACTCATATTTTATAAATCGACTTACATATTATGACTTATATCTTCATAGAATATACCGGGCGAATCGACTTTGAGTCTGGGCGAAACGACTTTTTGTTCGGGCGAATCGTCTTCCAGTTCGGGCGAAAGGGTTTCGGGCGAACGGAATTTCGGGCGAAACGACCGTAAACCCGAACAATTGCGTCTATGTTTTTATGTTTTAGTCCGTTATTTTGTAGTCCTTGATATTCACCACTGAAAATTATACTAAAATAATTATTCGCCTCAGGCTCAGTGAACATTGGTGAATATTCGCCTCGACTTCGTCTCGGTGAATATTCACCAATGTTCATTTCGCCTTTGGCGAATAGCTGTTTAAAAATAGCCACCTAGGTAGACAATCCTGGCAAAGGCATCACAGTCAGATGCCATGGAATACAATTAATTCATTGTTACTGACAAATTAAGTATACACAGTTCTTTAAAAATACCCGACCTGTCCTGTTAGGTCAGAATTAAACTGTCAACCCAAGCCCCTGGGGTAGAAGTTTTCCGTATAAAAGCCCCTTCATACCCCTGTTATCCTCTTGCCCGGTTTGCAGTATTGCCCAGGGTTGTTCATTTTCGGTATCAATTCATTTTTAAGAGTTTATATTTATGTTGTTGTTAGTTGTCACATTTCAATGAGACTTCCGGCCAGAAGCTGGTCAGGGGACGAAAAGGTGCTGATGAAGCGAGTTTATGGCGAGGACAAGTTTTCTCCTGCGAATTTCAAGCATAATGGAAGTGTAAATCCCTTAAGGCAGAGTAGATAGAGTTTAATACAGAGCTTGTCTGTTAGTCAAGGGGAGTCGCTCAAATCTTTCAAATATTAAAAAAAAAATACATTAACAGTCATGTGGGGTACCCTACTCCTAATCCTTCACCTCTAGGTCCCCTACCCCCACTCCCATCACTTCCGGGCATACTCAAGATATCGGTGACGTCACCTATTGTTAACTATTGAAAACTTTCAGTTTCAATATTTCCACGTTTGGTCCGACAGTTGCTTACTTAGCATAATACATTTCCTAGCTGCAAGTGAAGATAAAAGCCTCGGGTTTACTTCGAGCAAGCGGAAGATCTCGCTCTGTTTCAATTGCAATCTGTGAGAATGCTGTCGGCAAATTCCCGGCTATTTTTAGCTGTGTTGCTAGCGGTGCTTTGTCAACCACAGGCTGTTGAGCTGCCACTTCATAACAGCAAACCGGTTGATGGTCTTAACGATGAAACACGTTGTAGCTGGAATTGTACAGTTATGGATTTTGATTTTTCGCAGGAAATGAAGACCGCCATGGCCAAGAAAAAAAAATGATTGGCCTTGTTGTCAAGTACGAGAAAAGAGTGGCCGAAAAATGCGTAAACCAAACATCTCGCAACTCGAGCGGAAACATCACAGAGCACTGGCAAATATGGTTGCCAATAAGTGAACAACTTTCAGTTATCACGAAGGCATTGGAAAGCGTCGTAAATTTGATGTTTTATACGCATTCAAATGGAGACCGCGAAGAAATCAGAGCCATATGTACCTTAAGACCTGTGACCATGACAGCTACAGCGCCGACTTATTACAGTGATTCGTTTCCCATATTCTCTCGAAGTCATCTTACTGATCTTGGAGTCAAAATTTGATACCATCGACTGTAATACACAAACAACAGACAATTCACAACCTTGTATCAACATCACCAAATCAACTGGAAACTATAGCACTCATTCCAAAAGCCCATTCGAACGCGGTAGATGGCCATTAGTTGCTTTGTTTTTCTTCTATTTTGTATTTTTGGCAGTGTTCATGCATTATTCCTCTGCCTTTCTTTGTCTTTTCTCGCCGACAGAGGTCACAGAGCTTGCAGTTCGTCAGATTATTCTAGAAGGAGCCAGCCCAGTAAGTGTTCGAGGTCTGATGGGGAACTATTTCTTCCCTGAACTCAAGGTGACCGCACAATTTGGCAGAGGACGAGAAAATTTTGTGTACGAGTTGTGATTATGCCTCTTCCTTTCCTGGGCCCTGCAATTTTTGCTGATTTTATGATGTTAAGCTTGCCTAGATTGTGTTTATTCCAGCGAGTTATGAGGATATGTTGTGGTTATTATTTCATTCAGGCTTTTTACATATCTTTTTTCACGACAAGGTCGGTCCAAGCGAAGCCTTACATAGTTTGCAGGTTGGTTAAACCTAAGACCTTAAGCTGCCAAGGTGAACTTCCTCAACTAATTGTAGGTCATCCACGCGTCCAACCATTTATTCTAGCTCAATCTTGGAGGTTTTTTATTCAATATATCTTACGCTATTGTACGATGTCTCTAGCAGTGCTTCCGACGTGCAAAGTTTCTTTTGTGAACATTTTCCGTGTTCCTGTATTTATATGATTTTTTTGTCCACCATCCCTACTGTAACTATGATTTTGCTTATTGCGATACTACTATTAGCTTTTGGTGGTATTTTACTTTCCTCGCTTTTCGTAATCCTATCCTTGACTCGAAATTCCGCAATCAATGTGCCAGCCTTTATGGACTTCGCCGTACGCTGCTGGACTTTTCCGGCGAGTTTTGGAGCACTACATTTTTTAATACTTGCAGGCATTGGCACTACATTCGCCTTTCTAGTAGGCTTCCAACTTTTGTTCTCTGAGGACAGCCTTCCGTATGTGGCATGTTTTGTTCTTGCCTTGCTCTTTTACTAACAAATACCAGGATCTCGCATTTGCACTCTTCAAGCATTACAAGAAATCCCAAGACCAGAAGTTCGACGCCACGGCGTTAAACAGCACAGATCAAGTGCAAGAAAACACTGGTGCTGAGTAGGAAGACAATTCAATGAAAATTCCCAAGGAACTTTTCCGTATGGCGTGTGAAGAATTAATGCCTATCAGAAACAATGTCTGCGTATTGATTTTGAAGGTCACTATAATTGTGTCGTTTGTTTTCTTTGCTTTTTTAACCGCAATGGTGATCAAAGTTGTAGCGACTCCTGTCATGAAAGCTTTATTAACTTTTCTCACTGGAATCGTTCCTAAAATCGTCGCCAATTACATGGATGGAGGCAGGCAGAGAAAAATTGAAGTTATGATTACTGACCAGAGGATTCCTAAGATTTTGCGAAAATACTTCAAGAAAACGTCAAGGTCTTGCCAAGGGCGTGATAACTATGGTGCATGCGCAGATGTCAACGAAAAGTTACCACAAAATGTGAATGAAGGGAACATCGAGCTGATTATTATGTAATGCTAGACGGCTATGATGACTTCAATTGTGATCCTTTGCTCTAGAAGATCCACCGACAAACTTACTCCGGAGCCAAATGTAATGAGAAACTTAACTCTAATCACAAGTCTTTGTAACACCGCTGAGGGCACATGATGCACTGTGAAATGAAGCTTACCTTTCTTCTGTTATTCGGTTCGTGTAGTGACATGTCTATATTCGGCTACTTTCTTCAATAGTCTTGTGTGGCTTCCAAAACATGATCTTTTACCAAGAAATCGCTATTTGAAGTTCAAAATTAAGCTAGATCAGATTAAAGAAAAATGTCTTTTTTAATAGTAATCTAAAAGAATTGCTGAGCCTGCAGGCTCACAACGTGTCTTAGTTTGCTCGTCAAAAGCATAACGCAGGTACATATAAAACTTAAGTGAGTGAGTGAGTGAGTGAGTGAGAACTTTATTAAAGTGTCAAAAACCTTATAGCCTGGAAATAATACACCATACTAATTAGGGGACACTGCTAA